TTATTAGGGGCCCATACACCCCTACCTTCACTTTTGACTGCGACACTGCCAACCACCCCCCTCCCCCTCTTCAGTTTTGTCCATGACTCTAACCTACCCCCACTTTCGACTTTTTCAACAATCCCCCTCGCTCGTTACTGTTGTCCGCGACACCTGCCCTGCCACAAACCAACCCCCACCCCTCCAGTCTTTGCTTAGGTCCCTGAAAGTTCGTCAGATGGGTCGCCTACCCCCGGGTTGTCAACGTTGGCATAGTATATGATGACAGCAGCACCCAAAACAAAGTCCATAGTAGAGATCTGCGCGGGACTAAATTTTGAATCCCGCTCCCGCCCGCACCCGCCAGGTTTTAGCCCGAACCCGACCGCTCCCGCTTATATTAAGAATTTATTGTCCCGCTGCCCGACCCGCCCCGTTTTCTGCCCGCCGCGCCCGATCCCGCTAAAGAGCGGGGGAGAACAAAACCGAAAATCCCCCAGCTATACAGTCCAGACAGCCAAGTTGTCTGTATAAACACACACACACACACACACACACAGCACCAAGCACACACACACAGACAAATCTTTCTCTCTCTCATATGCGCGCGCGCTCACTAACACACACACAAGCACCAAGCAGACACACAGGCGTTTGCTGTTATATCAACTCAAAGGCTTGTAATACCATGTATCAAGTACCAATGTAATACCAAAAGGTTTTATATAAAGGTATATAAATACTGAGTCGCGCCAGCATCTGGCCCGATTGATTCGGGCCGGAATCTGGCAGTGAGTCCACAAGCATCCGGAGTCCGGCAGCCGGAGCCGGGCTGAGTGGTAAGTCTCTGGCAGGAGAGAATCTAGCCGGAACTGGCCCGAGTGTATATTGCTATCTGGAAATAAGCTCTCTCTCTCTCTCTCATTTGCGCGCGCGCACTAACATGCACACACACAGGCAAAGCTCCCTCGCTCGCTCTCTCTCTCTCTCTCTCTCTCTCTCTCTCTCTCTTATTCGCATAGCAATATCCGCGATATTGCTAGACAGCCCGCTCCCGTCCCAAATTAAACCCGTTACCGACCGCTCCCGCGATTTATTCAGAAATTTATTCCCGCGCCTCAGAAATCTGGTCGGGCCCGCGGGACAGCCGCGGGAATGCAGACCTCTAGTCCATAGTTCAGTCACACCACAGTACAGTTACTAACCTAGTGTTATTCAGAGAAACACACACTGCCACCCCCAAAGCCAACTGTCCATCCCCCCACTGGTCTTCTGGAATTTTGGAGACAAATGTTGGCAAGCATGGGTTAAGTTTGAAAGAATTTATATTTTCACATTGTAGCTTTGGCAATTGAGAGTGTCAGTGAATTTTCTTAAATGAAGAGAACTCAAACCAACTGAGTACTAAAATACCCAATAAGCAATCCCCCCTCGCTCGTCACTATTGTTTGTGACACCTGCCCCGCCACCAAACCCTACCCCCCCGCACTCTTTGCTTGGGTCCGTAAAAGGTTGCCAGATGGGTTGCCTACCCCCGGGTCACCAATGTTGTATAGTATCTGATTGCAGCAGCGACATATATCTAGCCCAAATAATTTTGCCATCTCTGTGTAATCAGAGGAGAATTTATTGGAAAAGCATTTTACACCATCCCATTATAAATGGTCATCAGTGTTAAAGCTCCACAGTGTTTCTTATTAAACCACACAGTAGTGATGGGCTCTTACATGGCTTTAATCATCATCAATGCTTTCAAATATCCTGATTGTTGTACTTTTACAGCCTTTGCCAACAGAGGTGGTTGAAGTAAAGGTGCTGACAGATAGATGTCACATGATCCATTTCCTCCTGTGCCACAGAGATGCATTAGATATTCTTTTTCCAAGAAGCAGGCATCCAATCTCAGCAGGTGATTTATTTCAATAATCCGCTAACTTCATAACACAGCAAGATGCTTCTTCTTCAATTGCTGTGTGGTCAGGTCCAGAAAAAAATATAATGTATGGTATTAAAAACAATATGACAGATGTACTCATTTTGTGTGTGGTAAGAAATAGAACATGAAAGATGAGGAATGCCAGTTTATAGTAAACACCTTCTTATTCTGTATTTTCATCGTAAAAGTGCAATAGATGATTATGTTTTTTTTTTTTTTGTGCAGGTTAAAAGTCTCGTCATATTCTGATAGTAATGAGTAAAGTAAGTGATCTAAATGTATTTATGTTTATGATCAGGGCAACACGTGAGAATAAAAAATGTTCATCCATTCAAAATGCATGTACAAAACATTATGATTATGTATGTCAACATACAGTGTGTAGATTTGTATACATGTCAGTCAAACAACATCAACCTTGTTTCTATTGTATTAGTGAAAAGAAAGACCGTCTTTAAAAGTGCTTCTGTGAAGAAAGCTGGATAAAAAAACATTCTAAAACCTTAATAAATATTAGAGTTGCTTTGGGGTCAACTAGAGGAGTTAAAGGTGCCTTATAAAAAAAATCTGGGAATACATATAGGCATAGTCAAGTAATAAGACTTCAGTATATAGAAATAAATATACCATAAGCCTCAAACATCCTTGTTTACTTGTTCTCATTTAAATTACACAAGTGTAAAACTCAAGTGAAAAGCAGCTCAATCAGAACACAATGAGAACTGTTGCGTGGTTTGCAGGATGTGTATGTACTTTAGCTCACATTCTACGTCAGGGGTTCTCAATGTTTACATTAAAACATCCAAATCTGAATTTTAATTAAGGTCAAGAGTCTGGAGCAATTGATATTACATAACTTGTTTTTAATAAACATCCATAACATGCATTGCAAGGCAACACTATTTATTTTTCTTTAAATAAAGTGCATTTGCGTTCAAACATTAAATGCAATGCAAATGTGGCAAAACAACTAATATAAGTGTACTTTTGTACAAGCTGTGATTGCATATCTAAGAGATGCAATGTTAGACACTATGCACTCAATGGAGTTAGTGAAGTCACTGTGAAGGGTAGGGTTAGGGGTGGTCATTAAAAAGCATTGCATGCAGCTCAGATTGCAACTGCACCAGGTCTGCATGCAGATCTCTCTCCAAAAAAGGTGAAAAAATACAAAAGGTGTTTAACGAAAATTAGGTGTTGTAGTTTGCGGTCTCCATATCTGTATTTTGTGGATACTGCTGTTCAAAATGTCGGTGTTTTATTTCATAGAGGCGTTTCACATTTCCACTCTTTACAACTCCATTTGTCTCATTAAAGACATTAAATCAATCAGAATGGCTTTGTGCTGGCTTGTGGCAAAATAAACACATACTTATCTGCCCATTCAACTTTATCCTTTCTCTTCTCTCCATCAAGTTTTCTTTTCTGTGAGACAGAAATTTTTAGTCATTCATATCATCGCTTTGCTGCGGTGTGTTAAAGCAAGCGTGCATGCATGATTAGCCCGCTTGATCGCATGAAGCCTCATATAATCACTAGGTCATGTCAACAGTCAAACAGGAAAACTTTGAATATTTCGCCTTCGATTTCATTTTCATTTCTGTACTTTTTATTTATTTATTTTTTTACAAAAATGCAAACAACCAAACAGTTAATTTACAAAGTTTATGCATTTATCATTGAAGGAAATCCACAATTTGAATCCTTTACGCATGGTCTTGCAATACAAAATGGAGTCGGGTCCAAATTGAATACCCTCGCAGTCCAGAAGCCCTGTTCTACATCATCAGCGGAGCCAAGCACACTGTCAACGAGGAAACCCTTGAATGCTATAAATATTATTACACACCGATAAGTTTTGCTTCCTACACAACTAAAAAGTGTTAGATATAATTCTGTTTTTTAAAAGGGTTTTAAGTTTGGATTTGCAGTAGCCTACTATAATGGTGTCTTACAATGTTTTCATCTTTTTGGTGTGTGTTCATAACTTCAGGAGCCTATGGCTTTGGATTGCAGTTTGTATGTAGGGAGGGACATGCATCTCAATGCCATCATTAGGCTAAATTTAGCGTTTTCCCAAATATCCTACTGCACCTTTAATTGCAAACTATCCTTCTGGAAGGACCAGGGTTTGGCTGATTAGTTTTGGCAGTACACAATGGCCACAATATAGCTATTTAAAAATAAATATATAAACAAACTAATATGACAATTAAAAAAATCATGCCAAAACAAAGATGGCTAACGTTTATTTCCGGACTTGTTTAAAGTAACTTTCCAAAAAAAGTTTTGTCTGGTGGTAAACACCTTTGACCTACCATTGGTCTGTGGAGATTAGTGTAATAGGTGTGGCCCTAAATCAGTCTATCAAGATCACATGACTGTGAGTAAAAACAAACACCAGAGAGCTGATTTATAGTTCAAATTTAAGTTGCTATTCTTTATGAAGAGGAAATGGACATGTTTAATACTGTTAAGCTGCTTTCATTAAAGCAACAGATTGTATAAAGTGCTAAGCTGGCACAAACACTGTAATTATGCCTTCTTAACCGCTGTTCTCTCACCGCTGTCATTTTATTAATGTACGCATTTTTATGGTTGAGAGGATGGTGCATGTTTCCTTATTCATGTAAACACTTGTAAATTTTATTTGATGCAGGTGGAATAGTAACAACGCCTTATTAGCTTATTCATTGTTACTATTTATTTTATTTTAATTTTGTTAGTAGCTTACTACCACTACCAGTTAGTAGTTACTATTTGGAATATTCTTTTTTTTTTTTTCTTAAAATCTATGGTTGGTCATGTGATGCAAACATGGCGGTGCCCATGAGAGGGCGACCCGCTCCACGTCGAATATTGTTTTAAAGAAGACTGCTGTTTACCTTCTCATGCGATTATAAAGCCCAGTTCATTTACTTGGTCTAAAACTCGCCAAAAAAGTACATGTAGTGCTATTCAATGATTTCATATTACACTAATTAATTTTTTTTCTTCCTACATCTTCATCCATTAAACTTGTAAAACTATGTGTACAAATAAACTTAATGGTGTTTTACAAGTCCATCACAGGCATGATAAAAGTGCAGTTCCCCATTATTCTGACCAGAAGAAGAATCAGCCGCCGGTGGTCATCTGCTGTCAGGAGAGGATCTGCATTTCCCGTGGCCTGTGGAGGAGGAGAGAGGGCCGGACAGGGAGGGCGAGAATCAGAGCCTCTCTTCCCCAGTGCACTTTGCAGTCAGTCAGGAAGGGGAGGGGGGAAGGAGGGGGCCGCGTTCACTGCTGGATCGCTTATCTGAGATCTCAAAGTCCGCCTTTCGCCGTGCGCTCTCCCCTCTCCGCGGACCTGCCATGGATGTTACTCCTGGATGTGCATTCTTCATATTTTTCCTCCACTTTCAGCGCGCGGATACTCTTTACATCGCCAACAGTATAGGTAGGTGGAGAGGTTTTTTTATTGTCAGCACTAATCACGGTTACTTTATGCAGGAGATACGGATCGGTTCAGATGTCCAGGGTTATGAAGCAGCAACTCAGTTTCCATGTTTCAGCAACTTACACTTTTATAGAGATGAATGACTTTTATAAGAATGGAAGATTTTATTTATTTTTTTGTCTGTCAGCGACGTTTTCCTTGAATGTGAGTGTCTGGAACTTTTCATGACATCTAAACTGAAACTTGAACTTTTATTACGGTTTTAAAGAACGTTATACAGCATATGCAATATGCATTAGATTGACCATTAAGGCGTTGATTGTGGAACTCCCACGCGAGCTGTCAATAATGTAAACAGCTGATGGATCTTGTGTCTCTTGCTTGAAATAACTGTCGCAAAATGCCGACATTAGTGTCAAGATGATGAGTACACAGAAGAGTAAATTAGAAAGAAGAACCAATGCATATTATAATAGCATCAAATTAAATCAGACAAATCATAGTGTTGGCTTCTCTGCAAGCTGCTCTTCTCTGAAGAAGTGAAAGACACTTATGCATAGGATGCATAAACAGACAAATGTGTTGCTGTGTCTTTAATCAGTATGATAGGAACGGATGACACCATAAGGGAAAATGGGGTAAGATGTGTCCCCCTCCTAATCTAAAAGAAATTGCATGATTTTTGTCAGGTGATCTTACTGACAGATATAAATGTAATATTTAGCTGCCTATGAATAATAAAGAAATGTGATTTTGTATGTCAGGATGAGTTTTCATATGTCAGACTTACTGTCTAAGAAAACTGATTTTAGAAAAATTGAGAAGAATCTGTAGTTTAATTTAATGTCTGTCCTGTTTTGTGTTTAATGCATTGGGGTGATTTTGTAACTATTTGCATTGGAAAATTTAAAAAATGTATTATGGTTTACAGTGGTCTTACTAGGGCTGCACGATATTGGAAAACATTGACATTGCGATACTTTTTTTCCTCTCTGCGCTATATATATATATATATATATATATTGATTTTACCAGGCGACACAGTGGCACAGTAGGTAGGTGCTGTCGCCTCACAGCAAGAAGGTCGCTGATTTGAGCTTTGCCGGGTCAGTTGGCATTTCTGTTTGGAGTTTGTATGTTCTCCCCGTGTTCGCGTGGGTTTCCCCCACAAGTCCAAAGACAAGTGGTATAGGTAAATTGGTTAAGCCAAATTGTTCACAGTGTATGTATGTGTGAGAATGAGTGTGTATGGGTTTGCCAGTGATGGGTTGCGGCTGGAAGGGCATCTGCTGCGTAAAACATGCTGGATAAGTTGGCGAGTCATTCCACTGTGGTGACCCCAGATTAATAAAGCGACTAAGCCGAAAAGAAAATGAAGGAATGAGATTTCACTAGACGACTTACTGTAAATAACTCTTTGCAAATACTTTAGATCAGGGGTACTTGAGGCTTTGGGGCTGAAGGTAAACACAGTTGCCTTGGGTAATTTCCTAGTTTATTTAATAATGATTAGACTAGAAAACATTACTTTATAATAACTAATACTGTTTTTAATTACATTTAATAATGAACTTATTACAATAAAATCAAAACATTCTCTTTTATAACACAATTGCATTAGTTGTTGCTTTGATTTGTTTGCCGATGTCTTCTGCATAGTCCTCTATTCGTGGAGTGACAGTATTTACATTTTAAAAAATCAGATTCGTTT